TAACTACAGGAGGGTCTTGTAAAGTTTGCATTAAAAAAAATTCATTAAACAGTCATTATTAAATTGTGTTTTTGTATGTTTTTCTGAAGCAGCTGCTGGACGTTTACAAACGACTGGAGAACATTTGTTTCTTAAACAGGGGTTAAAATTTTGAGTCCAGACCTACTAGCCGGTCACAAAACTTACTCTCCACCAGTTGCCCCACCCAACCTTGCCCAGGTCTGCCCCCAACCCCACCCCCGGTCCTCCCCAAACCCCACCCCAGGCCCACCCCCAACCACGCCCCCTTAAAGCTTATGAAATTACATTTTTCGTTAGAATAAATAGTCCAAAATATAAAACTGTACACAGTAATGTATATCCCAGTAATGTATAGCTGGGATATCCATTATACGTCATATCACTGACATGGGGTATACAGTAATGTATATACACGTCTCCCCTGTACTCACTATTATAGGGATATGACAGGGGAGGGGGATATACATTACTGTATACACGTCATATCACTATAATGGGGTACAGGGGAGGGGGATATACATTACTGTATACACGTCATATCACTATAATGGGTACAGGGGAGCTGGGATATACATTACTGTATACACGTCATATCACTATAATGGAGTACAGGGGAGGGGGGATATACATTACTGTATACACGTCATATCACTATAATGGGGTACAGGGGAGGGGGGATATACATTACTGTATACACGTCATATCACTATAATGGGGTACAGGGGAGGGGGATATACATTACTGTATACACGTCATATCACTATAATGGGGTACAGGGGAGGGGTCATGGCCGAAATTGTTGGCACCCTTGATATTTTTCCTGAAAATCAAGTATTTCACACAATATCAAGGTATTGGGGTTAACAGGGGAGTTTTTTGGGGTGATACACATTACTGTTTACACGTCCCTTTGTATGTATTGGATACATGGATAAAACAGAGGAGAAAAGGAAATATACATTACTGTATACACAAATATCACCAAAAATGGAGTACAGGGGAGGGGGGAAAAGTACATTACTGTATACATGTCATATCACTAATATGGTTGTACAGGGGAGGGGGAAACATACTGTAATCAGTCGCATATCACTATAATGGAATACAGGGGAGGGGGAATTTTACACTTACTTTGCAAACACTCATATCACTATAATGGAACAGGGGAGGGGGACCTATACATTACTGTATAGCAATTTTAAGATATCCACTATAATGGGGTACAGGGCTCATTGGGGGATAACTTACTGTATGCCATCACGTCATATCACTTTTTGACGTATGTTTTGGGGTCATTGTACAGGGAAGAGGGGGCAAACCCAGCTTTCTGACACTGGGCCCTACAGTGCACCCAAAATTTTGGTAATCCTCAGATTTCATGATGCCTTGCACACAGTCAAGGCACCCAGTGCCAGAGGCAGCAAACAAAACATCATTGAACCTCCACCATATTTTTACCGTAGGTACTGGTGTGTTTTGTTCTTTGTAGTACAGGGGGGGATTCCGTTTTCGGTAAACAGTACTGATGTGCTTTACCGAAAAGCTCTATCTTGGTCTCATCTGTCCACAAGACGTTTTTCCCAGAAGGCTTTTGGCTTACTAAGTACATTTTGGCAAACTGTATACATTGCTTTTTTCATGTCTCTGGAGTCAGCAGTGGGGTCCTCCCTGGGTCTCCTACCATTACTGTTTCATTTCATTTAAATCGACGGATAATGGGGCTACACTGGATGGGGAGCCTGCATACATTAATGTCTTTGGAACATGTTTGGGGCTCTTATCACATAATCCGGACTAGCGTTGGGGATCTATACATTACTGTCATCCGTCCACACCAGTCATATACAGTGCCATGGGTTGCAAACTTCTTGATAATGTTGGCAGGGGACAAAGGCAAATACATTACTGGAGATATAACCTTGAGATTGTTGATATTTCCACAATTTTGGTTCTCAGGGGAGACAGTTCTCGTCTCCTCTTTCTGTTATGTAGTGTGGCACAGACATACACACAATGGAGGTACAAGGGGGGAAGTGAACGTCACGTCTTCCTTTTTATCTGCTTTCAGGTGTGATATCATATATTGCCCACACCTGTTACTTGCCCCAGGGGAGTTTACAGGAGCATCACATGCTTGTACTATTCTGGGGTACAGGGGCAGTTGTGGAAAGGGTGCCAATACATTACTTGTATACACGTCATATCACTTTTTGGAGGTGGGGTACATTATGTCGGGGGGATTTGCTTTCATTACTGTTTACACGTCAATATCACTATAAGGGGTACAGGTGGAGCTAGGGAAAACATGTGTTACTGTAATACACGTTTCGTGAGAAATACATGGGATTTCCTGGAGAAATATTAAGGGTACCAACAATTATCGGCCATGGGAGGGTACATTACTGTGTACACGTCATATCACTATAATGGGGTACAGGGGAGGGGGGATATACATTACTGTATACACGTCATATCACTATAATGGGGTACAGGGGAGGGGGATATACATTACTGTATACACGTCATATCACTATAATGGAGTACAGGGGAGGGGGGGATATACATTACTGTATACACGTCATATCACTATAATGGGGTACAGGGGAGCTGGGATATACATTACTGTATACATGTCATATCACTATAATGGGGTACAGGGGAGGGGGGGATATACATTACTGTGTACACGTCATATCACTATAATGGGGTACAGGGGAGGGGGGGATATACATTACTGTGTACACGTCATATCACTATAATGGGGTACAGGGGAGGGGGATATACATTACTGTATACACGTCATATCACTATAATGGGGTACAGGGGAGGGGGATATACAGTTGTGTTCAAAATAATAGCAGTGTGTTGAAAAAAGTGAATAAAGCTCAAAATCTTTCTAATAGCTTTTATTTCCATACACACAAATGCATTGGGAACACGACACATTCTATTCCAAATCAAAACATGAAGAAAAATATATCACATTTGTGTTGTTCCTCTAAAAAAAATTGAAGAAAAGTGAATATTAGACGGTTCAAAAAAATAGATTTTGTATTCTTTACAAACTCAAACATTCACTATATAAACTGAAAAATGTTTGAAGATTTTGCTTTCCTTTGAATCACTTAATGAATATTTGGTTGTAGTCGCACTGTTTCTGAGAACTGCTGTACATCTGTGTTGCATGGAGTCACCCAACTTCTGGCACCTGTGAACAGGTATTCCAGCCCAGGATGATTGGACTACATTCCACAGTTCTTCTCTATTTCTTGGTTTTGCCTCAAAACAGCATTTTTGATGTCACCCCACAAGTTTTCTATTGGATTAAGATCCGGGGATTGGGCTGGCCACTCCATAACGTCAATCTTGTTGGTCTGGAACCAAGATGTTGCACGTTTACTGGTGTGTTTGGGGTCGTTGTCTTGTTGGAACACCCATTTCAAGGGCATTTCCTCTTCAGCATAAGGCAGCATGACCTCTTCAAGTATTCTGATGTATTCGAAACTGATCCATGATCCCTGGTATGCGATAAATAGGCCCAACACCGTAGTATGAGAAACATCCCCATATCATGATGCTTGCACCACCATGCTTCACTGTCTTCACAGTGTACTGTGGCTTGAATTCAGTGTTTGGGGATCGTCATCTGACAAACTGTCTCCGGCCACTAGACCCAAAAAGAGCAATCTTACTTTCATCAGTCCACAAAATGTTGCGCCATTTCTCTTTAGGCCAGTCAATGTGCTCTTTGGCAAATTGTAACCTCTTCAGCACATGTCTTTTTTTCCAACAGTTGGACTTTGCGGGGGCTTCTTGCAGATAGCTTGGCTTCACATAGGCGTCTTCTAATTGTAACAGTCCTCACAGGGAACGTCACACCTTCTTTCATCTTCCTGGAGCTGACTGTTGGCTGAGTCCGCGCCATTTTGGCTATTCTATCCATTCAAATGGTAGTTTTTTTTCGCTTTCTTCCACGTCTTTCAAGTTTTGGTTGCCTTTTTTCACCCGGTGCGTTCTTTGGAAAGGGTCAGGGACTTTTTTGAACGCAAAAAGTTGCTTTTTTGGGTCTATAAACTTCAATGGAAACGCTGCAGAAAAGCATGTATTGTGTTTTTAATGCGTTGTTGCTGTGTGTTTGATGTGTTTTAAATCTGCCTAGCAACAAGAAAAAAAAAAATGCAAACACATCAAAAACGCAACATGCATAGGTGTGAACCTAGCCTTAGAACCAAGAGGCCCCCATTCTATCCCTTTCCATTTCATATATATTGTTCATGGCAGACCTGGGATCAGCAGGTGACCTGGACCACGGGTTTAGGAAGCTCCTCTATCCGCTTCAATGAGCTGGCAGGTTGCAGCATACTGCGCATGCGCGGCCTTTTCCCAATTTACCCTAAGGCTAGGTTCATACCTAGTCAGTTTGCGTTTGATTTGTTTCTGTGATGCTTTTTGCGATGCATTTTTGCACATGAGCTTTTGCCCCATTTTGCGGGGGGGGGGGGGGGGGGGGTTTTCGAGCTTGTTGCTGGGCAGCTTAAAACGCATCAAAAACGCACTACATGCTTTTCTGCAGCATCTCTATTGAAGCAACGTTTTGTGTTTAACCCCTCACCTACAGGGCACTTATACCCCTTCCTGCCCAGGCCAATTTCCAGCTTTCAGCGCTGCACTTTGAATGACAATTGCGCGGTCATGCAACACTGTACCCATATGAAATTTGTATCATTTTTTTTGTGACAGAGCTTATTTTGGTGGTATTTAATCACCTCAGGGTTTTTTTTATTTTTTTCTTAAACCAAAAACCACTGAAAATTTTGAAAAAAAAAGTTTTTTCTTAGTTTTTGTTATAACATTTTGTAAATAAGTGATTTTTCTCCTTCACTGATGTGCGCTAATGAGGCTGCAGTGATAGGCACTGATAGGTGGCACTGATGAGGAGGCACTGGTAGGTGGCACTGATGGGCATGGACAGGCATCACTGATGGGCACTGAAAGGCAGCACTGATATATGGCACTGGTAGGCGGCACTGATGCGCACTGATTGGCATTGATAGGTGGCACTGACTGGTACTGATGGGTGACACTAAGGCAGCTCAGATGGGCACTGATATGTGGCATTGATGTGGCACTGATGGGCACTGGCACGTGTCACTGATGGACACTGACAGGTGGCACTGCTGGGGCTACACTGATCATCAGGGCACATGTCCCCTCCGCGGAATGCCGATTACCGGCTCTCCTCTCCTCTGTCAGCGTGACAGCTCGAGAGGAGAGAAATGCCGATAACCGGCATTTCCCTGTTTACATGTGATCAGCTGTGATTGGACACAGCTGATCACATGACCGAGCCGACATCTTCGGCTCTTTCCATTGATCGGTGATCCACTGTGTCTGAGGGACGCGGTGCACTGCCGATCGCCGCGCTGCAGGAGCCACGCATGTGCGGTTAGAATGGGAGGACATCATATGACATCCTCCCAGAACGAGAGAACCGCCTTCCGTCCGTCATATTACTATATGGCAGGCGGGAGGTGGTTAAAAAAATAACTCCCTGACCCCTTCTAAAAAAAAACGCACCGAGTGAAAACGTGGAGATATGAACCCGTCCCATAGGCAATCATGTTAAATGGACTGCTGTGCGTTTCTGCAAAACGCAACAGAAAACGCATAAGTGTGAACCTAGACTAAGCAGTCTACTTCCAGGCCTATAAATCGATGGTTTCTCTATGAGGATCTATGGAGAACATTTTTCTTCAAACATTTATGCCAGAAGATTCTGTTGTGACCGATCTCCGCCCGTACGCCGCCCAATGTGAAACATGGCAACGCTAGGTGCAGGAACTCCCCCTTCTGAATCCCCCGTGTCTCCGCCCCCTTCTCTCCCTCACTATTCCTTGGTTCCACCCCTGCCCACCTCTCAGTACTGCCCTTTTTAGAGAATGCAGAACCAAATCTAGTTTTGTGATGGTCATTTGTAAGGAATTTGTTAATCACAAGAAAGGCAGTAAAATAGATCCACTGTGGCTAGCAACAGCAACCCCCCCAAGTGACAATAGATCCTTTCCAGCATCAATAGACCCTCCAGCAGCCAGCAACAGTAGACCCCTCCCGCAGCAGTAAATCCCTCTCAGCATAGATTGACCGCTAAGCAACATAAGACTCATTCTAAGCAACACTAAAAAAAAAAAATAGATCCCCTCCAGCAACCATAGACCCTCCCAGCACCCCTTGCCAATAAATTCAGTGCTGGCGGTGCCGGAACTGCGTTCCCCCTGAAAAAAAAAGGCCCTGATGGCCGCTAATTCCTTCAGATGGCTACAGATGCCAAGTAATCAGCGCCACAATTAAGACTACATCCACACTGAGCTAAGCGGTTTCAGGAGTTTTTGAGCATTTTTTTTTTTGCAGATTTGCAAATATAGATGTTTTTTTCAGGCATTTTCATTTAGGCATTTTTTGCTGTGGCTTATAGAAATAGCTCCTGTTTGAGCTGAAAATGCCTGAAAAAAAAGTCTCATTCCCACTGTTCAGGCATTTAACATTCCACCTCTTTGGCTGCATTCACACACGAGCGTTTTGTAGCGCGAAGCTGCAAAACGCTCAGGGGGGGCAGGAAAAAAAAAAATCAATATTACTCTATGGAGGTGGTTCACATCTCCGCTCCAAGTCGCCTGAAGCTCAAAAAAGTTTTGAAGCTCCTTTTGTAGCTCAAGTTGGGTCGATTGTGCTTGTTGTTTTAGCGTGTTTTTTATTTCCATAGAAAAGAATAGAAACCCACGATTGACACATTTGTGCGATCTTCTGCTCATATGAAAAAATGTGAAATAAAAAATAGTAATAGTATATAAATAAATAAATGTAAAAAGAAAAACATATATATAAATAAAATCATGATAAATCATAAATAAATACATAACCCCTACCTTAAAAAAATGAAACAAACTATTAATAATAAGGATAGTAATAATAAACACCCAAACAATAAAATACATTATTAATAATAAATTGCTATTTTATTACTTTTTTAGGTTATGGGTTAATTATTATTAATATACTAATTTAATTTAACAACAGTGGCTAAATGATTAGCACTTCCGCCTGGCAGTACTAGGGTCGTTGGTTCAAATCCCAACCACGGCACCTCCTGCCTGGAGTTTGTATGTTCTCCCTGTGCCTGCGTGGGTTTCCTCCGGGTACTCCCGGTTTCCTTCCACACTCCAAAGACATGCTGGTAGGTTAATTGGCTCCTGTCTAAATTGGCCCTAGTATGTGTATGTATGAATGTGAGTTAGGGACCTTAGATTGTACACCTCTTGAGGGTTAGGGACTGATGTGGATGTACAATATATGTATGTAAAGCGCTGCGTAAATTGATGGCGCTATATACAGTGGGGCAAAAAAGTATTTAGTCAGCCACCAATTGTACAAGTTCTCCCACTTACAAAGATGAGAGAGGCCTGTAATTGGCATCATAGGTAGACCTCAACTATGAGAGACAAAATGAGAAAAAAAATCCAGACAATCACATTGGCTGATTTGGAAAGAATTTATATGCAAATTATGGTGGAAAATAAGTATTTGGTGAATATCAAAAGTTCATGTCAATACTTTGTTATATATCCTTTGTTAGCAATGACAGAGGTCAAACGTTTCCTGTAAGTCTTCACAAGGTTGGCACACACTGTTGCTGGTATGTTGGCCCATCCTCCATGCAGATCTCCTCTAGAGCAGTGATGTTTTGGGGCTGTCGCTGGGCAACACGGACTTTCCCTCCAAAGGTTTTCTATGGGGTTGAGATCTGGAGACTGGCTAGGCCACTCCAGCACCTTGAAATGCTTCTTACGAAGCCACTCCTTCGTTGCCCGGGCGGTATGTTTGGGATCATTGTCATGTTGGAAGACCCAGCCATGTTTCATCTTCAATGGCCTTGCTGATGGAAGGAGGTTAGCACTCAAAATCTTACAATACATGGCCCCATTCATTCTGTCCTGTACATGGATCAGTCGTCCTGGTCCCTTTGCGGAGAAACAGCCCCAAAGCATGATGTTGCCACCCCCATGCTTCACAGTAGGTATGGTGTTCTTTGGATGCAACTCAGCATTCTCTCTCCTCCAAACACTGCGAGTTGTGTTTCTACCAAACAGTTTTATTTTGGTTTCATCTGACCATATGACATTCTCCCAATCCTCTTCTGGATCATCCAAATGCTCTCTAGCAGACTTCAGACGGGCCCGGACATGTACTGGCTTAAGCAGGGGGACACGTCTGGCACTACAGGATCTGAGTCCCTGGCGGCGTAGTGTGTTACTGATGGTAGCCTTTGTTACGTTGGTCCCAGCTCTCTGCAGGTCATTCACTAGGTCCCCCCCGTGTGGTCCTGGGATTTTTGCCTACTGTTCTTGTGATCATTTTGACCCCACGGGGTGAGATCTTGCGTGGAGCCCCAGATGGAGGGAGATTATCAGTGGTCTTGTATGTCTTCCATTTTCTAATTATTGCTCCCACAGTTGATTTGTTCACACCAAGCTGCTTGCCTATTGCAGATTCAGTCTTCCCAGCCTGGTGCAGGTCTACAATTTTGTTTCTGGTGTCCTTCGACAGCTCTTTGGTCTTCACCATAGTGGAGTTTGGAGTGTGACTGTTTGAGGTTGTGGACAGGTGTCTTTTATACTGATAACAAGTTCAAACAGGTGCCATTGATACAGGTAATGAGTGCAGGACAGAGGAGCCTCTTAAAGAAGAAGGTACAGGTCTGTGAGAGCCAGAAATCTTGCTTGTTTGTAGGTGACCAAATACTTATTTCCACCATAATATGCAAATAAATTCTTTCCAAATCAGCCAATGTGATTGTCTGGATTTGTTTTCTCATTTTGTCTCTCATAGTTGAGGTCTACCTATGATGCCAATTACAGGCCTCTCTCATCTTTGTAAGTGGGAGAACTTGCACAATTGGTGGCTGACTAAATACTTTTTTGCCCCATTGTAAGTACCTGAAATAAATAAATAATTTACTTTTACAAGTATTTGATTATTTTTATTTATGTGTATTTATTTTACATTTATTCATTAATTATTAATGTATTTTTGTGTTCGGTTTAGATGTTTAGATTTAGGTGTTCAAATATTATTATTAATAATAATAATAATAATAATAATAATGATAATAATTGTTATTATTTTCTAAGGATTAGGGGTTAATTATGTATTTATTAAAACCTAGTATTTATTTGATTTTTTTTTTTTTTTTTGCTTGTATATTTAATAATAAAAAAATAATAAAATACTAATCTCAACCCAAACCCTAATCATAACCCTAACCTAACCTTAACTCTAACCCCTTACACTATCAAAAAAAAAAAAAAAAAAGAATAGCAATAAAAACTAAAGCTAAAAAAAGAAGAACCTAGCAACAAATTCTAATTATAATCTAAGGATTAGGGATTAATTATTCATTAAAACCTAGTATTTATTTGATTTATTTTTTTTTCGCTTGTATATTTAATAATTAAAAATTAATAAAATACTAATCTCAACCCAAACCCTAATCCTAACCCTAACCTAACCTTAACTCTAACCCCTTACGCTATCAAAAAAAAAAAAAAAAAAGAATAGCAATAAAAGCTAAAGCTAAAAAAAGAAAAACCTAGCAACATATGGTGTCACTCAAAGGATGCTGTTTACATGGATCCTAAGGTGTCACTCGCAGGATGTTGTTTACATGGATCCTAAGGTGTCACTCGCAGGATGTTGTTTACATGGATCCTAAGGTGTCACTAGCAGGATGTTGTTTACATGGATCCTAAGGTGTCACTCGCAGGATGTTGTTTACATGGATCCTAAGGTGTCACTCACAGGATAATGTTTATGTGCATCGTATGGTGTCACTCAAAGGATGAGGTATACGAGGATTGTATGGTGTCACTGAAAGGATGAGGTTTACATGGATCGTATGGTGTCACTCAATGGAGGATGCTTACATGGATCTTGAGTTGCCACTTCATCCCTTTAAACTCCAAACTCCAAACCCCAAACACATATTAATTACACGGGTTCTGAGATTAATCTATTGCAGATAAGGTTCACACTGAGTGAGTTTATTTACCATCTTAATCAGTCACAGAACCTGAGTAATGTGTTTGGTTTTAAAGGGATAAGGTAGCAGCCCTACATGGATCATATGGTGTCACTCAAAGGATGAGGTTCACACGGATCGCATGGTCACTCATTGGATGAGGTTCACATGGATCGTATGGTGTCACTCATTGGATGAGGTTCACATGGATCGTGTGGTGCCACTCATTGGATGATGTTCACATGGATCGTATGGTCACTCATTGGCTGATGTTTACATGGATCATGTGG